CTAGAAATTAAAATATATTATTTACAATAGAGTATAAATCATAAATAAAAATAAAATGTTTTTACTTAAAATCAACAGCTATGCCTGCKCCCATTCGTAAGTCTTCAGCAACACAATGAGCAACAGAATAATCATTAGGTAAATTGAAAATGTCTTCATCTATTTCATCAAGAACACTTAAATAATAATAAAACATTTTAAAATGATTTTTAAACAGTACATATTCTAACATAATGTTAAACTTGCCTTCAAACTTTAATTCCATTAGCATAAGGGCATAGAGTACAAAGAAAATATGTCTAAAGGAAGACAGTAATAGGATCATCTTATTTAAGATACTATCATCATACAATAATCATTGTAATTCTCAATTTTTTATTACGGTAACAATAGCATGTTACAAATTTTAATAAACACTTATATAAAAGAATAAGAGTAATATATTTAATAATTTACAACATACCTTATCCCCATGTCAGAAAATCTGCTTTGCTTTTGACCATTGTTATTTTTGATTTTATTCTTCCATCTAGTTAAAATAATATAAAAAATGTATTATATAAATACATTTTAGTGTTAAAAACAATTATTTAAAACTATTAATATAAAAATAATAAAATAATGACACAAATATCAAATAATAATCATAATAAGGTTCATAGACATAAATAGCAGGCAGCTGGGGGATAAGCCCACTAACCACCATTGTGTAACCCTCCCAAAAATTYGGAAGTTTTATACTACATTGGAATATATGAAAAATATCCCATTCTCAAACACTTTTTGCAGGTTAACCAAGGGTTACAGGGTTACACGATAAAAGTGGACATCAAAAAAGGTTTCATGGATAAAAAGTTTAAGAAACGCTGCCTTAAGCTTTTCTTTATTTATTAGGTTATTTCGAGGGTTATTTTGTTTAGTCTAGACTTTCATCAATTCAGATAACCATGAGCCCCAAATAGTACAGATTAATGAGGTTCTACTGTAATAAGCAAGACTAGGCAAGTTAAAGATTTTTTTTAACTCGTTAAGTTAATATAAGAAAAAGTAAATTAAATTAAAAGTGAACTAAAGTATTTTTTATAACTTTGTTAAGTTAAAAATTAATGGAGAAAAAAAAGAACTTAATTAAAAAAGTAATTATTTTTGAATCTTTAAGAAAAATAGGTTACCTACAAAATGAATGACAAATTCAAAATTTGCGTCAARTTCAGATTTGTGTGCACATGTGGTCAACCATGTAGTATGCTTAGCAATATTTACTGAGGATTAAGGGTAGGCAGTTGATGATTCRTCCAACTCTTTCTCATCCATTAAAGAAAGGGTGGAGTTAAAATAAAATAAATACACAAATTATACAAGTTCTACTATTAGCTGCTACATATCAATATTTGGCATATCCATATAAATTATAAAATATAAACACAATCAGTATAATAATAAGAGACAAAAGTATATTGTATATGACATACATAAACACATAACAAAATATCATGTTTGAATAAATAATATTTTTATTTATATCAATTGTTGCTATTTTTATGAATAATTAAAGGTCAATTTTATTTACTATGTTACTAAAACCAATATTACAGCAGTCACCAAAATAACAATACCGTAATTCAAAATTCAAATTATAAATCGCTGAGTATAAATATTTTAAATCAGAGCATTAACAAATAATTATTTCCCCATTAGTTATTTTTTTCCAGGTAATAACATATTTCTAAGGATGTGTGGGCGTGTGGTGTGCGTATGAGTTAACATGTCACTAGGTTATGATTTTATAATTTACAAAATTGTCGCGACCTGTATACAATTATATGACTAATTATAAATATAAATTAATATTAATATTATTATTTAGTAATCAATAATTATACATTTTTCCATTTATTTTCTATTATATCTAATATTTCTCAAGACAACAAAGTTATAAATCAATGGATTGTATCATTGTATCAAATTTAAAATGTAACTCCATTTTAAGAAATCTATATTTAATTAACTTGATAACTAGAAGTCAACATGTTAAATATGTTAAATAATTTAACTTTTTAAATTGAAGTTCAGTTTCAAAAAATACAACGAGTTACTTAATTTAGTTGATATTAACTTAACGTTTTAAATTAACTTTAATTTCTAACTCGTTAACGCTCGCCTTGGTAATATGTATGTTAAAGAAGATTAATATTAATAACTGACAACATACTTTTCTTCTCCTTCTTTAGTTATTGATCTACATGTGTCCTTAGGTGAATCAATGTTTTTTCTATCATGTGATTTTTTCTTTTGAGAATTTTCATCAATGGAATTTTTGTTGGACAATTTGCTTTGGTTTTGAACATTTTCATATTTTAGTTCTTCATTCAAACTTGAGTGACTAGATTTTTTTTTGTTTTTTTTTTTTTTACTCCGTCTATTTAAAAAAATATATAATATAAATAATTTTATGACAATTATAATTATTTATGTGAAATGTAATCTCATTAAAATTTAAAATTAAAAATAATAAATTATATGCTTATTATTAGAGTTAGGATGTTGATGATTTTTGCATTTTTTTTCCTTTTATTCTGTAAAATGCTATCCTAGCTAAAAATTTGTTTCATGCTCCCTTGATGCAGAATATTCTAATTTAATTTTGCATTTTTTTTGTTTTTTAACGTAATTTTTCAACATTTTTAAGTCATTTTTTGTACTTTTTATATGTGGGGCATTTTTCACAAATTATAGAATTTAGGGCAAATGTTACACCCAAGTTTGGAAACAAATTTAATATATTTAAAATCTAACTTTGGATTTGGACTATTAGTAAAAAATAATTTTAATATTAATTAAATAAAAAATTTTAAATTTAATTATACCCATATCTCTAATAAAAATTATTATTTATAAAAAAGTTTTTCACTTACTTAATTAGTATTTCAGATAATTTTTAAGGTCATTTTTAAAAGTTTTCAGGGCATTTTTGCACTTTTTAGGGCTTTTTTGCATTTTTTTAGGGCATTTGTGTGTGTTTTTTTAGGTCATCAACATCCTAACTCTGCTTATTATTATTAATTTTAAACGATGGAATGCGAGTCATGAATATTAATAATTGACAATATACCTTTTTGAATCACTATTTATTGATAAATTTAATGAATCTTCTTCATACGAATTAATTTTGTTTCTTTCATGTACATTTTGATGATTAAATTTATGATCATCAAATGAATCTTTGTCAGAAAATCTTCTTTGCTTTTGATTATTTTTATTTTTGTTATGATCTTTCTGTCTATTTAAAATAATATAAAATATTAAAAATTTTATGAATATTACGAATACTGATACCATAAATATTTTAATCACCYAAAATAATTATTTAAACCTATTCTGCTGTTGTAACCAAAAACGMTATAACCCGTAAACATTGGATGATGATTTTGATAAAAAAACGCATTTATGTATTTTGTGCTTCATTAAAATTGTAATTGCATATTCTATTTATTTGAATATGATGCATGTTTTTCTATKTAATTTTACTTGAAAATGCAATGAAATAATAATAAATATAATTAAATTAATTTTTAACAAAATGTTTTAGTTTTTAGGTTGCACCTTAGTCATTATAAAAAAAATAATTATAATTATA